TTTTTTTTTTTTTGAGACGGAGTTTCACTCATGTTACCCAGGCTGAGTGCAATGGCGCTATCTCGGCTCACTGCAACCTCCGCCTCCCGGGTTCAGGCAATTCTCCTGCCTCAGCCTCCTGAGTAGCTGGGATTACAGGCACGCGCCACCATGCCCAGCTAATTTTTTGTATTTTTAGTAGAGACGGGGTTTCACCATGTTGACCAGGATGGTCTCGATCTCTTGACCTCGTGATCCACCCGCCTCGGCCTCCCAAAGTGCTGGGATTACAGGCTTGAGCCACCTCGCCCGGCCTGTATTTCTCAACTTTTAAGCCCAGTTTTCCCTTTTACAAGAACATTGGACTATCACCTTTATTATCCTGATGTGAAATTCACAGGTAATGTAACTTCTATACATAACAATATTAAAAATTAATTAGTTCAGTATAAAACCGTAACTGTAATGGGGGATGTAAAAGGAAACATTTCTAGTAAGAAGATAATAATGTATGCAGTATGTAATAATTATCCAAGAAGTAAAATGGTTGCACTAAACATAGAATCACCACGAATGTTACAGCCACAAATACAGGCTAATGCAAGTGTGTTTATAGGTGTGACAGGTGTGTTTTACTGGTGATTCAGAAATTAGGGGCAGCATTGCCATTAGTCAAGTATTTTCCAAAATAGGGAACAACTCTCGGTAGAGTTTTGAAAAGGCAAAGTACAGTCTTCTCTTGACTTACACGATAGCTGCATTTTTGGAAAAATTGATGCTTATTGAAACTGATCAAAAAATGCATTGTGGTTATATGTAAAATAGTTCAAGCCATTCTGAAAAAGGTGGTCACCTATGTGGGTATCAGGATAACGGGGGGGACGTTCAGATGTTATTAGGACATGGAAAAGTTTTTTTTCTTTTCTTTTTTCTTTTTTTTTTGTAGAGATGGGATCTCACTGTGTTGCCTAGGCTGGCCTCAAACTCCTGGGCTCAAGCGATCCTCCCACCTTGGCCTCCTAAAGTGCTGGAATTACAGACATGAGCCACCGCACGTGGACATGGGACAGTTTTTAAAAAAATTAATGTTAATTTTAATGCGGGACAGGTTGTGATTGTGCAGGACTGTCCTGAGTAGGTAGTATCCCCGGCCCCCCTTCCACAACCTTCCCTTGCTAGGTTGTAGTCGTTGTGACAATTAAAATTGCCTCTGATTTCTAAAGCACCTCATAAGGGGTGGTGCTGCCCCATTGAGAATCACTGGTCTGGTGTGGTTCACCGGCCCTGTAGCTTAGTATCAGCAGGATCCTTTGCCTAGTGCTTACTGTGTGTCTAATCCTGGACTGTTTACTGATGGTATGGCTCATTTGTATCCGCGCAACAGCATTTTAAGTGTTGTTGCCGTTATGTAGTTACAGGTGAGGAAACTGAGGCTTTGAGAAGGGAAGTTACTTGCCCATAGTCATACAGGAAAATCGCTGGAGTCCAGGTTGGGGTTCAGGTCTCTATCAGTTCACACCCCAACTCCAGGCTGTTAGGTTCTGCTGGTCCTTGGGGCTCACAGAGAAGTGACTGAGAGAATAGGAGCCTTGCTAAGTCATGGAGGGAGTGTGTGGTGGAAGAGCCTCAGCCAGCAGGGAGAAGTAGGCCTGGGACTTGCTGCTCTTGTCTTTTTTTTTTTTTTTTTTTTTTAAGACGGAGTTTCACTCTTGTTACCCAGTCTGGAGGGCAGTGGCACGATTTCGGCTCACTGCAACCTCTGCCTCCCAGGTTCAAGCAGTTCTCCTGTTTCAGCGCCTGAATAGCTGGGATTACAGGCGCCCGCCATTACACCCAGCTAATTTTTGTATTTTTTTTTTTTTTTGAGACTGAGTTTCGCTCTTGTTGCCCAGGCTGGAGTGCAATGGCGTGATCTCGGCTCACCGCAACCTCCGCCTCCTGGGTTCAGGCAATTCTCCTGCCTCAGCCTTCTGAGTAGCTGGGATTACAGGCACGCGCCACCATGCCCAGCTGAATTTTTGTATTTTTAGTAGAGATAGGATTTCACCATGTTGGCCAGGCTGGTCCTGAACTCCTGACCTCAGGTGATCCACCTGCCTCAGCCTCCCAAAGTGCTGGGATTGCAGGTGTGAGCCACCATGCCTGGCCTGCTGGTTTTGTTTCATAACCTCTTCTGCGAAGTACCAGTGGACTAAAGTTCGAATGGGAGCCCACAGGAAGCTTCTTCCCGGGGCCCTGGGCCTTGTGCACCAGGGTGGATGGGTAAGGGGCTCTTCTAGGCTTGTTGGGGAGCTGTGCCCCTGCCCAGCTGGACGCACTGTGGGTGGAGGGCGTGTGGGTGGGTCACCCTAGTTGGCATCCTAAGGGCCTGCCGCCTGCCCTGCAGGCCTCACCTGTGCCTCTGTTCTTTAAAGGGGTGCTCCTCCTAGGGGAGCCGGTCCGCTGGGAGACCAGCCTGCAGCTGATCATGGATGTCCTCCTCAGCAATGGGAGCCCTGGGACTAGCCTGGCAACAGTCCCCTACCCCCACCTCCCTGTCCTGGCTAGCAACATGGATCTCCTGTGGATGGCTGAAGCCAAGATGCCCAGGTGAGGACACAAAGCTCCGGCCTTGGCCTGGTGGCCCACTCCTGGCTGCTGCTTGGGCAGTCCCGCGGGCAGTTCCCACCCGTCATTCTGACACCCAGGGTGGTTGGACCTTGCTTAGGTAGGCCCCGTTGCTGCAGCAACCTGGCCTTTGAAGGATCACTTCACATGTTAGTTACTAAACCTAAACTACAGATTACGGAGTCTGAGGAGAGGATGTTTCACACATGCCCTCTGCCCCCGGTCATCTTAACAGAACATACTCCTCGTGTCTAGTGGAACCCAAACCATGGACACTTTTTGTGCCGTACCAGTGCACATTATTCAGTTGCTCTTCCTTCCTTGGCTCCACCCTGTAGCATTGGTTCTTTAACTTTCTTGTTTCCTTGCACCCTTAAGACAGAGGGCAGGGAAAGCAAGGATTCGTCTTTTTTGGCGGGGACAGGGGTCTCAGTGTCTCATCCGGGCTGGAGTGCAGTGGTGCAATCAGAACTTACTACAGCCTTGAACTCCTGGCCTCAAGCGATCCCCCTGCCTCAGCCTTCCAGAGTGCTGGGATTACAGGCATGTACCGTCACGCCGGCCAAGGATTGTTCTGATGGCTGTCTAGACCAGAGAACTGAGACCCAGAGGATAAGTGGCTTTCTCAGGGCCATGCAGGTGCCTGCACTCCCTGCTCAGCTGTGTTGGTGTTGTCTGTCCTGTCTTATTCTGCGGCTAGCTAGCACAAGTACAGGCGGCCCTTTTCTGGCCCTCAGGGTGCTTACTCAAAGTCCAGCTGACAGCTGCTGTGTCCTGTTCGGCTGCTGTTATCTGCATGGGCCGACTCTTGAGTCTTAGCCTGCTGCTGACCTCCAGCCAGCCTTGTGAGTGCTCATCAGCAGAGGGTGGGCACGCCAGTGCTGCCTCAGGGCACGTCTCAGTAGCCCCAGAGAGATGGGGGCGTGCTCTTGTCACTTTTAAAGTGTGTCTCTGTGGCTTGAAGCTTGGCATTGCCTCTGAGGCATTATTCCTAGAGGAGGGTGTGCTGACACTACACCAGTGCGCCTGGTTGGTTATGTCGCTGTGAACTGAAAAGCAAGGGGCAGATTTCAGTTTTAAACCAGATTTGAGATGAACTTTTCTAATTAAAAACAGAATTCATTACATAGATGACACTGAAAAATGCGGTGGCTCACGCTTGTAGTGACAACACTTCAGGAGGCCGAGGTGGGTGGATCACCTGAGGTCAGGAGTTTGAGACTAGCCTGGTCAACATGGCAAAAGCCTGTCTCTGCCGAAAAAACAAAAATTAGTCAGGCATGGTGGTGGGTGCCTGTAATTTCAGCTACTCGGGAGGCTGAGGCAGGAGAATCGCTTGAACCCAGGAGGCGGAGGTTGTAGTGAGCCGATATTGCGGCCAAGCGCCAGCTATCATATTGCTATTTGAGGTGGCAAGAAGGAATTGGGGAGGCCAGAGAGGAATACTGTGTCACTAGTTTATTTTTTTAGAGGAAGTCTCACTCTGTCACCCAGGCTGGAGTGCAGTGGCAGAATCTTGGCTCACTGCAACCTCCGCCTCCCAGGTTCAAGTGATTCTCCTGCCTCAGCCTCCCAAGTAGCTGGGACTACAGGTATGTGCCACAACACCTGGCTCATTTTTATATTTTCAGTAGAGACAGTGTTTCACCATGTTGGCCAGATTGGTCTTGAACTCCTGACCTCAGGTGATCCACCTGCCTCGGCCTCCCAAAGTGCTGGGATTACAGGCATGAGCCACCGTGCCCGGCCCCTGTCCCTAATTTTGAGGCTGCTTATTAAAGTTTAGCCCAGGCCAGGCACAGTGGCTCACTCCTGTAACTTTGGGAGGCTGAGGTGGGCAGATCACAAGGTCAGGAGATTGAGACCGTCCTGGCCAACATGGTGAAACCCTGTCTCTACTAAAATACTAAAAGTTAACCGGGTGTGGTGGTGCATGCCTGTAATCGCAGCTACTTGGGAGGCTGAGGCAGGGGAATCACTTGGACCTGGGAGGCGGAGGTTGCAGTGAGCCGAGATCATGCCACTGCACTCCAGCCTGGCAGCAGAGTGAGACTCCGCCTCAAAACAAGGAAAAAATTTAGCCCAGCATTTGTGCATTTCTTGACTGTAGCTTAATCACATAGCCACGCCTCGTTGCAAGGGAGGCAAGGGAAGGTCTTTTTCACACCCAGTAGTAATATGGTCAGCTGAAGCAGACACCAGCAAAGAAGGGGAGAAGGGCAACCGTCGTCTGCCCAGCTCTCCTGCAGGATTTAAGCTCTGGAATCAGACTGAGTTGCAGTACTGGCTCTGCCATCTTGAACACATTACTGAATCTTGCTGTGCCTCAGTTTCCTTGTTTGTAAAATGAGGATGCTAGTGTCCTCTTCTAGGAGTTTTCTGAGAGGGAAATGTGAAACGCCACCTCCAGTGCCAGCACAGTGTCTGCTACGTGCCAGCTCTTACTCTGGGGAAGAGGCTGGTGTGTGTGGGTGCTGCTCAGAGAATGGCTGTTCTGTTCTCTAGAAGGGCCTAGGGATCAGGAAGACTGAACTGCTTCCTGGTCATTTCTGGCAGGTTTGGCCATGGCACCTTTCTGCTGTGCCTAGAAACCATTTACCAGAAAGTGACGGGCAAGGAGCTGAGATACGAGGGCCTGATGGGCAAACCCAGCATCCTCACTTACCAGTATGCAGAGGAGCTGCTCAGGCGACAGGCGGAGAGGCGAGGCTGGGCCGCCCCCATCCAGAAGCTCTATGCTGTGGGGTAGGCTCTACTTCCCCTCCTCCATCCCTTTCACGACGCCCCCTTCCCTCCCTCTCTTCTCCCAGCCCCGTTTCCCTGCACCTGATTCACTCTTCTGCCCCGAAACTCTTCTCTGCTCCCTTTGCTTTGCAGCACTGAGTTAGGGCTTTCTTCTTTTCCCTTTTCCGGTGTGGCTGCCCCTGCCAGGGATAACCCTATGTCTGACGTGTACGGCGCCAACCTGTTCCACCAGTACCTGCAGAAGGCGACACGTGACGGGGCGCCGGAACTAGGGGCTGGGGGCCCACGGCAGCAACGGCCCTCAGCCAGCCAGAGCTGCATCTCCATCCTGGTGTGCACAGGCGTGTACAATCCCAGGGGCCCGCAGTCCACGGAGCCTGTGCTTGGAGGAGAGGAGCCTCCATTCCACGGGCACCGAGACTTCTGCTTCAGTTCAGGGCTCATGGAGGCCTCCCACGTGGTGAAGGACGTGAATGAGGCTGTGCAGCTGGTCTTCCGCAAGGAGGGCTGGGCTTGGGAGTGAGGGCAGTGTGGGGGAGGTGAGTGGGCGAGGCTCTTTGGCTGGGCTCTGGCCCATCACTGGGCTCAGGTCAGGGCTTGGTTCCCTTGCCACCCTTCCTGCAGCTTTATGAGTGTGATGTTACTGGTCACGTGGAAGAAGACATGGCTCTCTCTCCCTGCTGGGTAGCGTTCTCCATGGAACTGTTGGAATTCTCTGGGCCCAGTTCCCATGTGCCTCTCCTGGCAGTCTAACCTCAGGCCAGTCTCCTCACCGGTGTGCCTCAGTGTCCTCATTTCAGTAGGGACTTCTGGAAAAGGAGCAGTGTGGAATACTGTGGACGATTGCGGAGCCTTTGCCGGCACTGAAGGAGTGCTCCGGTCGGTACAGTGTCTAACACCAGATGCTACTTTTTATTGTAGTTTATTACCCAGAGATTTGGGGCTTATTTTTTTAAATTAAAATAATCATAATAAATATTCATGATGCCCTCTCTTGTGAAGCTCTTCTGGAGTACACTCAAAGTTTTGTGGGCAGAGGAGAGGGAGGGAGTGGTGCTGGGTGGCCTGGGGGCTGGGAGATGGGTGGCATTTCAACTCCACGAGGTACCCACGTCTCCTTTCCTACCTCCTGCCCGCAAGCCCACACCCATTCTGGGCTGTGAAGCCTGAGGCTGTCCAGGAATGAGTTATGCCTGGCTTTGGCATACACTTAGCAACTTCCCTAGTGTGGAAAAGAAGAAGGATCTTGTCACTGCTTTGTTCTAAAGGAAGCAGCTCTTCCTGCAGTGACTCTAGAAAACATATGCTGCTTCTTGCCTCCCGTTCTCTAGGAGCAACCAACTTCATTTCTTCATTGTCACTGTGTCTGTGTCACTGGTGGCCTCAGCCTCTGCAGATCCTCCAGACAGTCCTCGACCTCGTTTTACTCCAGTGGCCGTTTGTGTTTGACACAGCTGATGTCTCCTTTCCTCGTTCTTTTTTTATGATTTGGAGACAGTCTCGCTCTGTCACTCAGGTTGGAGTGCAGTGGCGTGGTCATAGCTCTCTTGAACCTCCCGGGTTCAAGCAGTTCTCTCACCTCAGCCTCCTGAATAGCTGGCACTACAGGCGCACGCCACCGTGTCCGGCTAATTTTTTTTTTTATGTAGTTTTGGTAGAGACAGGGTTTCGCTGTGTTGCTCAGACGGGTCTCCAACTGGCATCAAGAAGTGACCCTTGCCGGGCGCGGTGGCTCACGCCTGTAATCCCAGCACTTTGGGAGGCCGAGGCGGGTGGATCACGAAGTCAAGAGATCGAGACCATCCTGGTCAACATGGTGAAACCCCATCTCTACTAAAAATACAAAAAATCAGCTGGGCATGGTGGCATGTGCCTGTAATCCCAGCTACTCAGGAGGCTGAGGCAGAAGAATTGCCTGAACCCAGGAGGCAGAGGTTGCGGTGAGCCGAGATCGCGCCATTGCGCTCCAGCCTGGGTAACAAAAAAAAGAAGTGACCCTTCCACCTTGGCTTCCCGAAGTGCTGGGATTACAGGCATGAGCCAATGCACCTGTCCTCTAACAAGTTTGATTGGTGGCTTGACCCAACAGGAGGTTATTTTTCTAAGTGATGGGCAGGTCAGAGGTGGCACATCCATGCTGGGAGCAGTGCCAGGCTATCCTGCAGGACTCAGTGCCCACCCCACCATCCTTAGCACCTGTGCTTTGTCCATTGGCAAGGTGGTGGCCCCCTTACACGTGCAAGTCCCTCAGCCCCACTGGGAAGGGGAGGGAGGGAAGGGCCCAGAGCAGAGCTCGTGGAGCTTATCCTCAGGAGTGCCCCCTTCTGTCCTCCGGTTCTGCAGGTGATGATGAGGGGGTCACACAGACACCCCCAGTGGCAAGCAGGAACCTGCATGTTACTGCTCAGAATTTGGGTTGTGTGTGAAAAGTTCATGGAGTACATGCCTGGCAGGTGCCTTCTGGTGCCAACAGCACCAAGGCACTGAGCTGGGTTATTCCATAAATCTGCATGGTAAGGTGACCTGTTGGCCCGTCTGACTTGAGAGCTCATCTGGGCTGCACCTGGAGCAGCTGCTCCAAGACATGATGCAAGGCTCTGAGAAGTGGGGCAGGCAACGGCCTCCGAAGCACCTTGGTGACGGCCATCTGAGCCACTGGCCGGGGCAGTCTTGCTGGCTCATATATACATGGTGGTCAGCATTTTCCAAAGCATTTTGAAACTGGCATCATCCATTCCTACTCTGTTAGAGCCTCACAGAGCCCCTCATGGAGAGAGAATTCTTACCTGTGCCATTTTCAGAAATGAGGGCACAAAGTCAGAAACCATTCATTCTTTTTTTTTAGTTTGACAGAGTCTCGCTCTGTCGCCCAGGCTGGAGTGCGGTGGCACCATCTTGGCTCACTGCAATCTCTGCCTTCTGGGTTCAAAAAATTCTCCTGCCTCAGCCTCCTGAGTACCTGGGACTACAGGCGAGTGCCATCATGCCCAGCTAGTTTTTTGTAACCATTCTTTCATTTATTTACAATATTTTGAGATGACGTCCCACTATGTTGACCCAGCTGGTCTTAAACTCCTGGATTCAAGCAATCTTCCTGCCGCAGCTTCCCAAAGTGCTGGGATTACAGGTGTGTGTCACCACACACCACACATTCAGGCTGGAGTGCAATGGCGCGATCTTGGCTCACTGCAACCTCTGCCTCCCGAGTTCAAGTGATTGTCCTGCCTCAGCCTCCTGAGTATCTGGGATTACAGGTGTGCGTCACCACACACCACACATTCAGGCTGGAGTGCAATGGTGCGATCTTGGCTCACTGCAACCTCTGCCTCCCGAGTTCAAGTGATTGTTCTGCCTCAGCCTCCTGAGTATCTGGGATTACAGGTGCCTGCCACCATGCCCAGCTAATTTTTTGAATTTTCAGTGGAGACGGGGTTTCACGATGTTGGGCAGGCTGGTCTTGAACTTCTGATCTTAGGTGATCCACCCACTTTGGCCTCTGAAAGTGCTGGTATTACAGGTGTTAGCCACCGTGCCTGGCCTGTAATTTTTCATTGAAACAGGAACTTGTTACGTTATCCAGGCTGGTCTGGAACTCCTGGGCTCAAGTGATACCCCTGCCTCAGCCTCCCAAAGTGTTGGGATAACGGGCGTGAGCCATGGTGCCCAGCCCGCTATTTCTTACTTGTCTGGGTTTGCTAAAGATATCATAAGCTATTTCAGGCTGGGTGCAAAAGAGCAAGTGTCCTACCACATGACTTATGCAAATCTAGAGATCAGGGCCAGCCACTCAGCTCTGATTCCAATCATGTCCCTTGGGGGCTTTGTCTAAACCCTGGACCCAAAACTCACATCCAGCTGCCGTCATTTGCTCAATCCCAAAATGAATGAAAATGTTCTCTTTTTGTGTTTTGATGAAGCCAAGTGAATGAAAAAAAAAAAAAAAAAAAGCAGAGTGCATCAGATAGGACGTAAGGCCATATTTTTAATGAAATTATTAACATGGGACAAAACTTCATCAGGTGTTCACATTGAACAGGTAAAATCACCTTGGGTCTGAACCATTACCTTAGAATCAGAGCATGGGCACTTCTTGGTGTTCCCCTTGGCGGCAGCCTGCTCGGCCTTGGGGCAGGTGCAGGGAGTCTGCTGGTAATCGGGACACCCTGCAGAGCTGGGGTTGCTGTGGCAACCAGATGCTGCCTGGGGGGCGGAATTTTAAAATATCCCAGCTATAATAGTTTTTTTTTTGTTACATTCTGTCACTTCCCCAGTGCTGTGTCGTGCTGCTGAGGTGGGCCATGTGGGGACACTGAAGGCCCTTGGCAGGCATCTTCTGTGGGTGTTGGAAGTGGGAAGATGCTCTCGGTGTGAACTGCTGGGCAGCTGACAGCCTCAGCTTTTGCCTCCAGGTTCCCCCAGCTCTTGGTTCCAAAGCCTCGTGTCATTTTCTCTCTTTTTGAGGGAAGGGAGGGGGTGGAGACAGAGAATAGGAGTCTAGCTTGAAACTCCTTCCCTACCGCCTCCCACTCTGACTTGAGCTTTCCGGCTCTGCATCCCTAGGCGAGCAGCCTTGGCGTTCCTGGAGCCATCTCTTTGGAGAGGGGAGGGGTGTTCCTTTTTCCCTTCTTGTCTGCTTTTTCCTATGGTCTTTCTAACTTCCTCTTTCAGCTTCATTTATTCACATGTAAATGACTGTTGCACTCCTACTGAGCGCATTGGCTCATGCCTGTAATCCCAGCACTTTGGGGGGCCAAGGCAGGCAAATCACTTGAGGTCAGGAGTTTGAGACCAGCCTGGCCAGCATAGTGAAACCTCATCTCTACTAAGAAAAAATATAAAAATTAGCCGGGCATGTTGGTGGGTGCCTGGGGTCCAGGTACTCAGGAGGCTGAGACAGGAGAATCGTTTGGACCCAGGAGGCAGAGGTTGCAGTGAGCCAAGATTACGCCACTGCACTCCAGCCTGGACAACAAAGCAAGACTCTGTCTCAAAAAAAAAAAAAAGAACCTGCCCTTGCTCTAGAGGAGTTCATCCTGTCTTGATGCTGGACTTGCCTATCAGATATCAAGCATTTTTATAAAGTTACAGTAATCAAGACACTATTCTACCGGCAGAGGGAAAGCTACAAATCAATGGGACAAAATAGCGTGCCCAGAAATAGACCTACACATGAGGCTGCATTGAAAATGCGGCTTCACAAAGTATTTCTTTCCTGCTGATTTCTTCTTCTTCTTCTTCTTTTTTTTTTTAAATAGAGACGGGGTTTCACCATGTTGGTCAGATTGGTCTCAAACTCCTGACCTCGTGATCCTCCCGCCTCGACCTCCCAAAGTACTGGGATTACAGGCGTGAGCCACTGCGCTCTGCCTCCTGCGGATTTCATAGTCTCATATGGGTCAGGTGGCTACTCTTGACCTTTCCCCTTCAAGTGGTGACTCGGGCCCAGGCACCCTCCAGTTGGTGATACTGTCATCTTCTACACATGGCTTGCAAGGTCTGTGGGAGGGAGCGTGAATGGATGACTGATGGGATTTATGGCTGAACCAGGCTGTGGTGGGTACCACGTGTGTACGTGTTCATTGGCTAGCCATATGGTTCTAATGTGACTACAGAGAGGATGGGAAATGTGGTCTTTCTCTGCCCAGGAAAAGGAAATGGGATTGGACAGCATCTAGTCTGTCTCTGTTGCCATATTACTATTTACTAGGAATAAAGAAATTCTGGGCCGGACGTGGTGGCTCATGCCGGTAATCTTAGCACTTTGGGAGGCTGAGGCAGGCAGATCACATGGTCAGGAGTTTGAGACCAGCCTGACCAACATGGTGAAACCCCATCTCTACTAAAAATACAAAAGTTAGCTGGGCGTGGTGGTGCGCGCCTGTAATCCCAGCTACTCAGGAGGCTGAGGCAGGAGAATGGCTTGAACCTGGGAGGCAGAGGCTGCAGTGAGTGGAGATGGCGCCATTGCACTCCAGCCTGGGCGACAGAGCAGGACTCCATC